GTATTATACCAGTATAATACAATATATTACACTCAATTCTAACTCCCTTTAACAACTCAAGTGCCTAGTTTTATTATAAAATAATTTTTTTTATTTGTATGTTATATTGTTGTTCCGGCAACAATTTTTATTAAATAAAGAAGGGGGGTCTGGTGGCTTCGCCATTTTTTATTTTACTGTAACACGATTTTTATGAAATAAGAAGAGGGTACTAGTGCAATTTGATATTATATCGCTTCGCACATAGCAAATCCTTATGTTCTTTATTGCAAATTAGATTCCGATACCAATATCATCATATAAATTTTTGTGCATAATAAAGTATAATAATTTGATTTGTTGATTATAAATTTTATGTATAGACTTCTAGTATATCATTAAAACCTATATTTGCTCCACATCCTAATACAAGATGCCTATTCCATTTTATCTTGTACCATTGAATTGCAGTAATAATATTTCCCGCGGACAAATGGCCAAGATATGGAGCATGAGATGGACGAGTCGTTTTGGGTGTTGCCACAACTGAACTGATGCCTGGATTTGAATTTGCTGAAAGGGGGGTTACAGTAGCCGGAACAATGATGATTACAAATTCTGTGGTCGGACAGTGGGGTTGAACGCGTGTGAATTTATTTATAGCATTATCACAATCACCAGAATTATCATAGGTTACCTATCAATATTTTAGCCGATTGTCAAGAAATAGTTGCATAGTTCTAAAGATAAGGGAATAAGATCTTTACCTCGATCCATAGCAATGGTAGTAGACATGGATTAATTATAGGAAAAACTCTTTGATTAAGTGCTGGTTTAGGGTTCCAACCACCTACATCAGGTCGATACTGATTACTGTTAACCACACATATTGAATCAATCTGATTCCACCAAGTTGGAAGTTGTTGATCAAGCGAATACACCACTTTCTTATGTACTTCTGATTTAATTCCTCCATTAAACTGAATAGTAACAAATAATTAGAAACGTATGTAAAATAATTATAAAACAAAATGGTAACCCACTTTGATGAATAATTTATTGTCAACAATTTCAGCATTAAAAATATTATGGATCGTTTCAAAAATTTTATTACGTTTCTTGCTTTCGGCCTTTATACGTGGCAATTCAAGTTCTATAATATCCATATCGTGTACTTTGCACAGTTCTGCATTAACTTTATTTTCGATTTGAGTGATCACCTAAGAGAAACAGATTGTTGGCTTATTCAAAATACATGTTTCAAACAAAAATGGAATACATTATTAATACCTTAGATTCTGTATTATCCTGAATCAAGTTAACTAGCTTTTTTAGGAAGTGACCCAAATATCTTTGTATGTTTTGTATTATATGTTATGAGAATACGCATTCTTTTATAAGTAAATATCTATTTCATGTTTATTAATAATCAATAATAAAGATAATAGCGATCTTAGTATAGTGGTTAGGTTGCCAGACTGCCATGCAAGAGGTCTGGAGTTCAAATCCCACTG